TGCGGTTGTACAGATAAATGAAAACTTATTTTCTATTTCGAATCGTAAATGTCGCGGGGTTACTGGAATTTTTTTATTTTTAATTGCAGCTGGTTCTCGTGTTCGAAATCCGGACGTTGATGTTTTGACGTTCGTCCCATAAAGTGCATTAGTGACGATGTGCATCGGCGAACGCTCGTGATATTTTTTATCACCCTCCGCCCTCCGTGCCCGAACTCTCGCGTGTTCACCGTTCCTTGCTCGCTTTTTTCGAAATGGTCGACTATTGGATTACTTACATACGCTTCGTCGGCTATAACTTAAAATGCCATGCCGGGCGACAATATGCGGGAAGCAGAGGGTATAAAGGGTCGCGAAAAGTGCAGTGCCCACGTTACTTTAGAATCGTCGATGGCGAAGGCGCATTTTTGTCTTCAGCCCCGAAGTTAATCGGACAGTACCGTAGATAATGTTTCTGATAAAATTTACAGCGGGGCGGTAGCATTTAACTCCAAGTCGTTGAACGTTATTGTTGAGATTTGCGATGCAAATACGATGAAGGTATATACAGTGCGCGACTTTTATAATGCCCAAAGAACCGATCGCGACGAATTAAATATGATAAAACAAAAGCAATTAGCTTTTTATACTTCAATGGGAATCGAATTACTGCAAATCCTGAAATGTGTGTGAAACAATAAATTTTGTATTAAATTGATATTGAATATTTCTTGTTGTTAAAATAATGCACTTTACCAATAAGTATAATATTAGGAACAAATGACATAAAAATAACAAAATTAAAAATGTAAATTCTAAGTTAATTAAACAAAATATGTTTGTATTAATTTAACATATCATAAATATTAAATTTATAAAAAATATGCTTCTATATCACATTTGCTTACAAATTGTGTCAGTGTTACTTTCTTTATTTTTTACATAATATTTATGTTATATTCTAACACCTTACTTTGTGTTTATCTTGTGTTGAATTAACACAATAATTTAGGTGGACACTGTTTTGAACACGTGAAATATATTAAAATTGTTAAATTTAATATAAATATTTCAATTATGAAGTTGAGAGCTTCTTGATTTAACAGCGAGTTATTATCGGAGTATAAGAAGACGACAATATTCCGTCTATACTCGGAAGCTGATCCGTCATAAGCATACTCGGTCTGTCATGGTCTTTTCTCCCACAATTCATATAGATCGAGAGGTTCAATTCGAATGAAAGTCGAGGCTCGCGGATACGTGCTCTTTATTCGCACATTCTCGCGAATAAAGAGTATGACGGTGAGAGTCGTATGTCATTCAGAAGTCGTTTCGCTATGTCATGCTTCTTGTTTGCTAGAAAAAAAGAATCCGTTCGCCCTCTCTTCGTAGTTCTCGCCGGAACATTTCGGACCCGGGACGGCCATTCTGCGGGTAAGTCCGATCCATCAATGCCCGCCGAAGCGAAGGCCCTGGTATCGGCCAAATTTCCCGCGAGGGCCACATCACGGCCAGCAGGGCCGCCGACGGATGGGAAACTCTCCGCTGGAATTATGGTTCCCTTATGCTCCCATTACGGAGCCATCTACGATTATGTTCGCGCCGGTTTCAGCCCCGCCCGCTCTCCTGATCGCTTCACTGCCCTCGCAAACAATCTCCATGGAGCATTTTTGGTTCTTGATGGATGTTGACCTTTTAATGGCTCTCTCATAGCTCGCAGAGGCCACGTTTGCCGTTTACTGGAACGTGCTATATGCGTTGACTCGGGCGAGATTTGATGGACAATATCGTAATGCAGTCACCGGAATAATTTCGTATCGGCGATACTGGCGACCAGGGATATCCTTGGCTGGTGATCGATGCTGACGTTTGCGCGTTATCGCCAATGGAGGGACAGATGACGCTTTTGTGACAGCGCAGGAGCTTGTATTTTATTTACAATTCTGTTACCGGAAGAGCGATTATATCAGTATACACACATACCGGGATACGCACACTTTGCCGGATTAATTTTAATCGAATACATACATTTGTGCTGATCGCTCTTTTTGCGCCGTATACCTTTCCCGTTAACGCGTACATTTCACGTTTTGTAAAGATACACTAGCGCGGAGAAATTTAATTTAATTTTTTTCCCGCGATTACACACGTGTACATTCAAGTTAACCAATTTATTTCGCTTCAATAACGATGATATAATAAAACTTATCGATTCGAATAAAAATCAATTTATACTTTATACAATTTACCATCAAATTCAATTTCGTGCGTTATCGCGCTGCAAAAATTCTTATTGATATAACGTGGTCCGGATTACAAGAGTCGTAATCGAAATTTGTATAGGTCATTGTTATAAATTGTACACGCAGATTGTGTTCTAGATAATCACGTTCTATATGCTTACGTTCGACATTACGAATGGCCAATAACACTTGGTTAATGTCCATGCGTACGTTTGATAGAAGACCGGTAGCTAACGTTCCAAATTACCAAATTGCCTATGACTAACTTGCGTCTCCAGCCTTCGTTCATTGTCCCGTTTTTGCAAACATAATATGTCCATCTTTCTTATCACACGTTTTACGCGCAACATTCATATTATGAGTCGCAATATTCGCTTCTTATTGGTATCGTAGGTATGACACAAACCAATCGTATGGCGCGCCACATTGAGTGCATCCAATAATATTGCATTAAATTGCTGGGATAAATCTGCAACGGGCAATCCAAACGTGCATTTATCTTTCACGCTGTGCTAGTATGCCATTTTTCTCTCCGGCGCCCTTTGCCGCCTTATATCATATTTTATATCACTAGATATAATTTCTCCGTGTGTCTCCCATACGATATTAGCGTCTTCACGCTTAATATTTGAAGATACAACATTTTGCACAAATTGTGTATAATATCTTTTTTTGACTATCTTTTTTAATATTTAATAAAATAATTACAGAACAATATAAATTTAATTTTCGGGTTTAACCGATATAAACTAACCGATGTACTATAGTTTATCTTTACACACATTTCATGATCCATAATTTTACTGTAATTTTAGAAAGAAAATGTTTCAATTAAAATGTACGATTTTTAACGTAGATTTTGATTATATTACTTTTTTTATGTAGGATATCATTTCAAAATTCAAAATTGCCCACCTGCTACATTTTAGAAAAACTTCTCTTGCAACACATTTTAAAAGACTCGTATATTGTATTATAAGAAAATTACCGTATACATTATGTATATTTATACAGTAATGCCTAAGATATTAGTCACTTTATTTAGACTATCCGTTATATCTATCCGTTATATCTGTACGTATCAATAATAATAAATGTTGAAAAATGTTAAAATGAAATCAGATTTAAATGTAATACATAGTGTTATACTTAATTAAAAGTAAATGTTTTCCGAATATAATTGATACTTAAAAAATATTTAGTAAGTATTTCTCTTACTCGCGCGCGCGCGAGGAAGGTAATAAAATTATCTTTTTTAATATAATTTATGTAATAAAACATGACGACAATAGATACATTTAATCTTAATGATCAAGCCAATGTAATTTATTTAATTTAGCTCTCTTTTGCTATCAAACAGTAAATAAATAGATTTTAAAAATCAATTTTAATCTTTTTTTAAAAAGAAAATCTAGGTAAATCTAAATAAAAATCGAAAGAATAAATTAACATAAATTGATAGAATAAATTTGATTTATTTTCACTTATATCTTACATTTATTTTAAATTGGAATTGAATAAATTAAAACAGAATTGCTTTTGCCAATATTTTACATATAGATTAAAAATGTATAGCTAGAACACACACAATATTTAGAATTCTTTCATTACATGTCAATAAACAGGTTATATATACTTTTCTAAACCAATGTATTTTATCTTCCTTTTCAGATCCTAAATTCAAGGAGCCAATAGCCAATGTAACCGCGCCGGTGGGAAGAGAAGCTATTCTCTCCTGCGTAGTTCAAGATCTTGCCGGATATAAGGTAATTCAAATTTTTATAGATATATAAGCATTTTACCGATCGATCCTTTCAATTTTAGAAGTACGATACATCATTATTGTGTCAATTAAATCTGCCTTTGTATTTAGTAAATTCCAAAAACTTTTTTCTTTTCCATACCTTTTAATTAATATTAAGTAATACGGGTACATATTTAAAGCTTTCTTTATAATAAATTTAAACTTACTTTCATGCAATCATTAACATAAAAAAATTAATCATATCTTGATACAGTTTTTTTTTCTTATAAATGAATCAATATATTCTCGTCATGAAGATCTCGATAAATTAATTTAAGAAATTGAGATACTGCGAATAATTAAAATTAAAAATTAAAAATTCTTATACTTTTTTTATTACGGTATTATTGTTTATTATCTTAAACTGTTAACAAATATAATCCGTTTATCAGCCGATATATTCTTACATCTTAAGTTGCGCTTTGTAGGATCATAAAATGTGTTTTTACAGTATACTTATAAGAATAATTCATGAATAAGTAGTTACGAACTGGCTGCGAAATTCTATGCGGCCATTTCACAGTACTACAAATGCCTCTCTCTTTCTCCTTATGATAAGAAGTATCTAAATGATACTAAATTACTTTAAGTGACGCGGCAGTTTCATAATATTAATGCGAAAATATATTATCGATGTTATATAATGAATAGCGATTGAACAAAACTTCGAGATGATGGAAATATTAAAAATTGATATTTCTTTCATCAGTTTTACATATTGTCTGCGATATTTCCGTTTGCGAAATATTCCGCCAGGTCAAGTTAATAATAAAATAAAGAATTATAAATTTTTTTACATTTGGTTATATATGTATAATGCATCTAAAGTTAAAATAATTCAATATCGGTAGCTATGCATTCGATGCTATGCTATTAATTTTACACAACGCGTGCGCGTTGGTACTAGTAGATTTTACATTACGCATAAAAGAAACGATATGTATTATAAAATTAAAATTACTCGTAGAAATATTCTCGAACAAAAGAGAATCTGGAACGCTATACAATAGGTTGAGTTGTTTAACCCATTGACCTCGTTAGCAAACCACGAAAAAAATTAAATGAATTTCTATCTCTCTCTGAGGCTCTTTACATACTGCCGCACTTTAGATGGCCTGAAGAATCCTCCCACCCAGGAGAAGCAATTAGTTAATTAATTAGTAAAATTACGCGGAGAGGTATAAAAATGAATACTCATCGGGTACAAGCTGGAACGATCTTATTCAGTCTTTACTCGCAATTCCGGTTCAGCTGGCGTCAGCTAAAATGAGTATAGCGACAATGTTATGTAATGGCTTTCACGAAGTACTAATTAGGGAATGAAAACCGCGTGAAGTAAGAACAGCGTCTCAAAGAGGAATTTGATAAAGTTTCTGTCTCGAGAATCGATTGCTCATCAGCATCTTTCTTTAATTAATATTTAATAAACCTGTAAATACTCGAATCGTTAATAATACATTATTCTAATCTCTACTACACTGAATAAATTCTAATGCAAAAGTTCTATATACAATGACGACTATCTACTTTTGCTTTGTAATCGTGAACTGATTTTGCGTTAATATCAAATCTGTTTGTCAAATAAGCATTAAAGTAATCACGCGGATTTAACATATAGTATTCTCAACGAATGTACACCAGCATAAACTTCTTACAAATTTGCTGTAACTGTCACGCAAAGTTGGTGCATAAACTCTCATTAGAATAAAAGGTTACATTTTTATCTGTTTTCTGGTTGGTATGTTCACGAAGTTAGGATATAAATAAGCTTTGTGTATGGAGAAATTTCTCCGAGCATATATTTGTTTGGCATTCGAGACAGTAGAAAAACGTGACCAATAAGAAAATTGCGAAGAAAAAGGCGCCATTGCAGTGTAAACGAAAAGGCATCTCAAACAATAGAGCATTAGCTTTGTGAACTATAATGAAAATGCTGTCTACTTTGTTCACATTAAATGCTACTTGTGTTATGCGCTGCACAATGAATTGTAATTGCTGAAAAATGTTGACGAAGGAATGCTTTTGACAAAGTCCTGTTAAAAGCACTCGGCACATTAGGTTATTCTTCATTATTATATTTTCACTGCACTTTTCATCTGTAAAAAGATTTATATAAATATATATAGAATTTATTTATTTCTTATAAATGTATATAGGTACATATGTAAACCATTAATAAATTATACGTACGAAATTTATTTATATTTTGTACATTAAGGTGTAAATATAAAATAAATATATATTCAAAATTTATGAATATGACAATTTAATTACGCAATTTAAAGAGCTCGTTAAGATGACCACAGCATGTAAGCTACAGATATGAAAACCACAAGCTTGATATTCGAGGCCCAAGCTTCCTCTTTCGCTATATGTTTAATTTTGTAGTAAATATTATAGCGTATTATAACTTGCGTGACAACGTCCGTGGTATCATTATAATCATTTGTGGTGTTGTCCTGAGCATGTATATATATATATATATAATTAATATAATTATTAATATTTCATATCTCTGGCATTAAAGGCATGATAACTATTATATACAGATAAATATTGAGTTTACTGTTTAATAATAATATCTGGCATTTAACGCAATGTATTTTAATCTAATTGTATAATAGATTATTGTTGCATACGAGAATTCTATGGTGTTACACGCAAAACATTTTTGCTAAATAGCATCGTTCGCAAATATTCTATTCTTCTGATCAATTAGAAATATTATTTTTAATTGTTTCATGCATGATGCTTCTGAATTGCAATTGAACGTATGTACCTATCTGTCGTTCGCACTGTGGCTTCCGTACCGTTTGAATTACATGCCATCAATTGAGAATTAATTGAGGATCGCTTAATTAAGGGATGAAGCAGGTTATTTGGCCTCTAATTGTAGATTATATCATAAAACAGCTCAGTATAATAATAGTCATTATTCTTATAATTAGTCGACAAATAGTATCAAGTAGATAAGAACTTTCCTCAATGATCAATCGTTACTTCGAATATACGTACATCTTTAATTCGGAATTGGAACATATAAGTCCTAATTGTGGAATATTTTCCTAATTTTTTTAAGTAGCATGATGGTTTGGAATAATTTTATGCTTTACAATCTTATTTTTTATCACTGTTTTGTTTTATTCATTTAAGCTAATTATTGTATTACATATTCTAGTAAATTCAAGTGTTTCAATTTTTTAATACGTAATTGAAAATTTTAAAACTTTAAAAAACTAATAGCAAAAAATTTTTTTGAGTTCCAAGAACCGGTATATTCCTTTTCGGAATACAAAAAAATATGTATTCTTGCTATGGATTAAATAAGTTAGGGTGCAACCCTTCGCACAGTGATCGCAGAAACATGGTTACTACGATATAGAATTCTACAAAGAATAGCAGCATCTGCGAGATCGAGGGAAGATTTATACGCGATGAACGGAACTGGAATCGCAGGAAGGATCGACAAGAGGAAAGGTATTGAAAACTATTCATCCCGCGCCGACTCGCCCGACATGAAATTCAAATCGATGCATTTATAGAGACCACGCGGACCCCGTCCACGGCCCGACATTGCTTACGTGGTGGAACGACGTGATGTTAGCCATAGGGGAGAGATAGGGGTGAGTCCGATGGGGTGGGACAGGGTGGAATAATCGCGCCGTTTATAAGCCGGCAGTGCGTCGCTCGGTGTTCCGGCTATGCATTAAGATGACGGATAACAGCCGCAGCTATGCCGGGAGGCTTGAATCGTCATGGTGCGGAGATAACGCCGCCTCTTCAGGCTCGCCGCTCCCGGATTCCTGATGTAATATGCGCCGTTAGACATTAACCCTTTTACTTCTCCAGGTGACGCGATATCCTCACCGAGCGCCGAGCTTTCCGTCAATCGCATCAAGCGTACCGAATTTCAAATGTTCCCTGTCATTGATCTCTCGAATGAACAGATATCTCAAATCACTGCTTACTTTAGAGCCACCGATAAATAATAAAAATATTAAAAATGCAATAATGATTTCGATCGTGTAGTCGGACGCGCTGTGATCTGTTCTCGCTGTTCTAATAAAGAAATGAATTCTGTTTTTAGCGAAAGAATCAAATTGTTTATTTAATCTATTGTGTCTCTTGGAATCTATTTCGCTGAACATCCGAACATTTAATTCATAGAAATTCGCACTATTATTGTCTTGCTTTTGAAACAATTACATCTTTTCGGTCGATCCATTCGACAGGTAACGCGACAGAACTGGGACATTCAGTATAGTAACGCTATAATATAATGAATAGGTGTTCATGAAAGCAGGACTAAGTTATGGTCTCAGGATATAATAATGGGTTGACCGGGTGATTGAGCATAGTCTTTGCGAGATTACAGTTGCGACCGAGAGCTATCAGCTCCGCTTGAATTTTAATTGCAAAGTTTTGGCTGGTGTATTTGGCTCCTTGACTTGAATAACCGTGACTCGTTAATTAATGCCGACTGGACTTAAAGTATAGCCGATTACTGCTTGGTTCCTACGATCGTTCCCTCTCGATTGTCATCTGTAATTCAATTTTAATTATAAGCCGAAGCGTCATACAATTGTTCGAAAACGTAGCAGGATTTATGTCGCGCGGCACAGGGTAATTTTATTAAAATAATTAGATAATAATTAATTAAAATTACGCTTGTCATAGCTAAGTATGACAATGTAATGTAGTTTATTAATAATAACAGTACGTTTACTATCAGCGAATTTAATAATGCGCTTCGCTGTATCGAATTGAAGCTTGGAATAATGCGAAATAAATCGAGATGTATATCTAAGTATAAGATATGATATTTCTCATTTCTCATTGATCGTTTTATTCTTTAACGACAGACAATGGGTACTTTATTATAATAAAATACGTTCAGCAATCAATATTCAGCGATCGATTCTTCGCCGACATGTTCCGATCTTCTTCCAATAAAACGACGTA